TTCTCTCTGAGCTTGTGTCTTTTTGGTAAAATAAGGACAGTAGATTGAATGCCTCTGGTACTGCTTTTAGTCTAATAATTTGAAATTCAGTTCATCTTAATCCTCTCTCATATGACTTTCATATGACAGCTTGTGTTTTGGGCACTTCTGAGTATTTTTAACCAAGAAAAACCTTTTTCTGATTTTGATCTCAACTCTGAGATAGAAAATGATAGGAGGAAGGGAGAAAGCACAGAAATACTTTTACTACTCTTTTTGCTGTGCTTTGAAAGAAGTCACTAGACTTCCATTCACACTTAAATAAAGGAGATACTACCTTTCCTTCTTTGGGAGGCGAAGGAAGCTTCTGCAGATCCTTTTACATGTATCCTGGAGTCATGACATATATTGTTGTATTAATTAAGGAAGAACAGAGAAGGGAGCCAACTTTTGCTGAGTGCCAATGTGCCCTGTGCTGGATGCTTTCTTTATATAATTTCACTTCACATAGTTTCATGTAATCTCAACAACTGTAAGAGAATTCTTGTTGATGAAATAATGTAGGCTGAGAGAGATTAAGAAACTGTCCAATTTAGTCACAGTAAGGAGGGTCGCAAGAATTCAAAATCAGCCTGTCTTGCCCTTTGGTTATGCGAAGATGCAACAAGAACTCAGCAGTCTGTGACCCAGAATATGGCCTTCTCAAGAACCTACCATGCTGGAATCCTGATATTGGACCTTCAGCCTCTCTCCATAACCGTGAGAAATAAATTCGTTATTTATGTATGTATTTGTTTGTTTGTTTGTTTTAGAATCGCCCTATCTTCCTCTAAAGCCTGAACTCTGAGAGGGTTACTTTCGCAGGAATTGAAAGTAAGATGAAGGGAGAAGCTGAGGAACCTCAGGGTTAACTGACCTCAGAGGAGAAGGTGGCATGTAGAATGAAGACTCCACCTGTAAATCCTTAGGCTCAGCAGCTATATGAACCTTCTCTATTTTTCATCTTGGCTCTTTGCTCCCCCACTGGCCCCCTTAAAACTCCACTGAGGTTGAAGGACAGGCCTATGCATCTTGGATCCTAGCAAACAGATAGAAGCAGAAATAATTTCTTCTCCAGCAATTGTCCTACAGAACATACTACCCCCACAAAATCCTTGCCTCCGCAGCTGGCCACGCAGATCAAAGCTAGGGGCTATCCTCTCATGGTGTGGGACCGAGCAAGGTCCAGATGTTCTTGCTTCTCCCCTGCTACCAGGCCTTCTGGAAGAAAACAGCTGCTTTCTCTATCTTGGTGATAACTCCTTATTCCTTAATCTCCATTAGCACACAGGGTTCCTCAGACACAATCGCAGTAAAAATTGTCTAGTCAAGACCCTGAAAGCCATCTGGCGCCTCTTACTGTCCAGCCATAAAAAGACCTAGCACACTGAATAGCCAAATCCAGAAGTATCCTTGAGGGACAGGAAAGAATATGTAAAGATAACCTTGTTTTAATAGAAAATGGAAATGAGACAGAAGTTGGCTCTTTCTTACTGCAGGGAAAGGAATCCTATGAACTCAACTTTTGTTCAGAACAAATATTTATTGAGTCTCCTCTGTATTAAACAGTACTAAGCACTTTCATCACAATCTTTTCTCCTTC